ATATAGAAATAAATGAAAAATACTTATAATGAATTAAAATTTGAAAATAATTAAGTTATACAAAAACTAAAATGAAAGAATTAATAAAAACATTGCCAGATGAGAAAAATCCAAGACTAAAGTAACAAGAACTTCTTATTGATACTAATTATAATCTTATAAAAACTTCAACTATTATTGCAACTTCAACTGCAGCTATATTACTTGTTAGATTAAAAAAACTGTCAACCAAATCAAGTATTGCAATCTACAGAGTGCTTCATATCTATTACATCTAAAAATTATATGACCATTTTTTGCGATTGTCCCTTGTACTTTCATTTATTGTTCAACAAATAAATTAGATACATTCTGTTTCATAATTGTTTCATAAATATAAATGATGTATAGATTAAAACTTTTATCATATTTAAGAGTAATTTACATGCAAATTTTTCGTGCTTTTCTGTAAAATTTTTTGCAATAATAATTATACACACGAAATAATAATTCAAACATTACAATATATTAAGATTATATTTTATTCTTAATTAAACCCTTTAAATTATATAAACAGAATATCTAATTGTGAATCTCTAAAATTATTAATTAAATAATTAATTTTTGCTCTTGTAAAAGTATAATAATTACCTAATATAAACAGAAAAATACATATTTTTGTTTAAAAAATGATGAAACATAAATTAATTATGTTAAGTATTATAAGTGATTTATCTTTGTTACAAATGATCTTAAATTTATTTCGAATAGAGGTTCTTAGAGTTTTATCTGTTTTATAAATTTGATACAAATAAAATCAATTAATTTGAGAGTCTATTTTGCTTGAAATAGTTTGATGTTGAATATAATTTCATTGACATTAAAGTATAATAATATCTGTTTGAAATTTATTAAATCTTTATCAATTATCAGAGCAAAACTTAAATAAACTTTATTTTTTAATAAGTGTTTATTTTACTTGGTTAATATTGAAATATGTAACAAATATATTATTTAATGCAATTAAAAATAATTAATTTCTGGGAGCAGATTTATCACAATCACAGAGAATGGTTAAGGCACTGAAATAAAGACTCTAGATAGTCAAACAATTAAATTATCATTTTAAGCTCCACAAAATGTATATCCACTAAATTCATCGTAACTACTTTTAAAATCTACTCGTAATAAATTTTACATTGTAAATTCATTAAATGAGAATTATGGTAACTTATGTTATCCTATAACTAATATTTCTGGAAATTAAACTGTAAATTATGAAAATCCATTATTATCCCACTATATGATGTAGTTTAATAATTAATATCTATTTAATTTAATTAAATCAATGCACTATTTGCTGTGAATTTACTTGAAGCTTACCAATATAATTTGGCATAGTTATTATTTATGAATTTGTTGTAATAAAGATTGCACTACTAATAGAAAATTCTGTTAATAAAATAACTGATTAAGCAGAACTGAATTTAATATTTAATTAATAAATTGTACTTATAACAGAACTTGAAATAATTGGTGCATTTTTAATATTGTAAGTGAATATTAATACAACAGTATTTGAATTATTAATATCGAATGTAATTATTTATTAATTTAGAAATGATTTAGGGAAAATATTACTTTATATTATTTCATTATTTGCAATTGAATTAAATTCGTATTGCATTCTTAAATTTAATACAATGGAATTTTTAAAAGAGCAAATATCTAACATTATCCTTAATAAAATGAAAGTAAGAACCACAATTATCTGAAAGGGCTTTGATCTATTTGAATTTGATCTGATTTAAACATTATTAATCAAAAACTATCTTATTATAGTTAATTTTAAAGGAATAAGAAATAGAGGAGTTTATATTATTTTCTTTCAATATAGTAACAGGTGATAGTTAATTTGCATTTAATTTATTAATTAAATTATTAGAACCTAAAGATGGCAAAAAAGAAGCGAATTTTCCAAAATTAAAGAATCAAATGATTTTGGTGAATCAAGTAAAGCACAAATGCATATTAATAAAACTCTATTACTTTTATAGGTTAATAACTTTAAATATCCTAAGTCATAATAATAAGTATTAAAAGATATTATTTAAACTAAACTGATGATTCAGTGCAAATTAAATAATCAATAGGACATTATTATACACATTATCCTAATTAATTCATTTCAAATCCTTACTTAAAAATACCGGCAAAACCATTTCTAAATGCAAGTGAATCATATTTAGTAGTATCACATATTAGATATCAATATTATTTATTTGTAAGTTTAACCTATGAAGTGGCAAATCTTGCAAATACCACCAACTTCAAAATATTCATCATTAAATCTTGAATGAAAAATTAAATAAATGCCTATTTAATCCAGCTAAGCATGTTTTGCATTTTTTCCTATTTGTATAAGTATAACATTATTCACAAGGACTAGTACAAGATTTGCGATATCGATAATTTGTCATATTAACAAATACAAGTATAACCAGAAGTTTCAGAAAAATGGCATTCTGTTGCTAAATCCTAACACATTTAACAAGTGTGATTACATTAGTTACAAATAGCATTATTACCAACTTAAAAGTATCACTCTATACATAAACATATATCTAGGGGACAACTATACAATTAAAACCAACAACACAAGATGTACTCTCATATCCAGTTCCATTATCACAAGAACACTTTTTATTCATAGCATCAAATATTCTATTTAATTCTGTTTAGCAAGTATTGTAATTAATTGTACATCTACAACTTTTCAATTTATATTGAAAATAAGGAAATTTGCAGGGTTATCAGAAATGATCTGTTCCAAAATAACCATCTTCGTGTAAGCATTTTTTAGCTGGATCTCTGAATATAAATGGTTTTAATTAGTTGCAATCTAATTCATTTATTATGTGTGAAAGATTAAAAGATAAATTTAATTAAAAAACCTACTTGTGAATTATTCATACCTAAGTATTTTTTATTGCATTAATAATAGACTATAAAAACAGCAACTCTTATTTTTATGAGGGATCATAACTTTTATAAAGAATAAATTAAAACTTATAACAAATATATAGTATTAAATAATTAATATACTCTATTATTGTATTAGATAATAATATATATATGATAATTCATCCAAAATGTAATTTACTTATTAATTCATTAATCTAAATCAGTCTTGTTTATAATTTAAATAGATCAATTACATCAATTGGATCAGAATTTTTATCAACTAAATCATTCTCTAATTTATTTGAATTTAATAACGATTAATTTCAATAATTATAAGGTAATTAAAAGTAATCTCAAATATTAAAAGTCTTTCCTGTTGTAGCAGTATTAGTTCAGAAGAATACGGAAGGAAATCTAATAATAAAGATAATGATTTAAATATGATTTAATCAGTAAATTTAAATTTTATCTCTTAGAAACAACCATGTAAATTTTATACAGAAGTTGTTGTGAATCAAAAGTTTATAATGTCAGAACTCCTATTTAAGGTTGAATATTAACATCACTTTAATGTTTATATTGACTATTTATTTTTAAATTACTATTAATAACCTGTCACATGATAATTATATTCAGAGTGATATTAAAATTGTCATTTAAATTAGTTTGTAAATTCAAATATGATCGAGTGGGTGAAAGTTAATAAAAGTTCATTTGATTATTCTTGGTAAAGCATTAAAAATAATAAGAATTTAAACTTTAATGTTCAGAAAAGCAATCAAAATTTTTATTTTACTAATTTTATTACTTTAATATTTGTATTGAGAGCAATGTTATTAAATTATTATGATTAACGACATTTTTCTCACTTTTTTCTTTTCAAATTAAACATTTTAATCAATTTTTTTTTTTTTAACATTATTTTCACTCCTTTATTATTTCAATCTTTTAGAAATTAATGACCATTTTTGCCATTTTAAATGGCCCATCTCATGCACCTATTAATAGATGGATTTAAATGTTTATTCCATCACTTTCCATTTTTTAATAATATTTTAATGACATAATAAAATTATGCTTAATGATTCAACATAAGATAAGATTCATGAGTTAATTATTTGATTATTTATCTATAAATGAATTTCTATAACTTGAATAGTATTTTATTTAATTTTTTAAAAATATTTTTATTAAGAATCACTTAAATATTATTTAGTATCCTAGAATAATTATTACAATAACAATTATGGTAGAAAAATTAAAATAAAAATTATTGTTACCAAAAATTAGAATAGCTTCATAAAATTTTTACTCTAAATCACAATTATCTCAAAATTTATAATA